TTATTTCAAAGACTGAAAATAGAAAAACATTTTTTGGTGCTGTGTGGTTTTATTATATTTTAGATTCGTTTTATTTTTTAAGTAGTTGTTCTGTGATACTTCGTTATTTCTTGTTTTATCTAAAAAAAAATAAAGCACTCTAAAGTTATCCCACTTATACAGAATCAAAATCTTGCAAGAAGGCATATGGCGTCTAGTATTGAAAAAATATGATGAGCGCCATTTTCTCACTATCTTCCTGACATCATTTCGCTGGAAAATTGAGCCTACCCTAGATTGAAATCGTTCCGCCGCCTATGGATATGCGTATTTCATTTCAGAAAGTTTTCTTCAAAAACCTAGGCTTTTGAAAATGTCGTTGTTTCGACTAACTGTGCCTTTGTGTAACGACGAAAACCTAACCGTACCATAACCGTTTTCTAAAAGTAAATGGATTCAGATTCTGACGAAACCTTATCCGATGAAAATGATAATTCAATTAGTTCTGATGAACTTGAAAGAAGTGATTCCGAAGACGATGATTCATTAGTCGAAGAATTCAGGCAAAGTTCAATGGACGATTGGGAATGGAAAGTTAATAACTCAAGTTTTTCTGCCTCATTTAATTATTATGATGGACATGCACTAGGAAAAAGCAATGTAATTCAACCAATAGATTCATTTTTCACGTTTATATCTCAAGATTTGATCAAATTGATTACTCATCAAACCAACATTTATGGAAAACAACGTTGTGTTGAAAAAGGTGAAGATGCAAAAAATTGGAAAGAAATTAATGAAAATCAAACACATGCATTTCTCGGTCTCTTATTTATCATGGGATTTCACAAGCTGCCGAGAACTTTCTCAGTATTTTGAAAAGAAATTTTCAGAAAAACTACTCGCTTGGATCATATGCATTTCTATAGATGAGGCAATGATAAAGTTCAAGGGTAGATCGTCCATAAAACAGTATCAACCATTGAAACCAACTAAGAGAGGATATAAGGTATGGGTTTTAGCCGAATCGAGTACAGGATATGTGTATAACTTTGAGATTTATACCGGAAAAATACAGAACGATGTTTGTCATTAGGGGATCATGTATATTCATGTCATTAGTGAATGGGATAGGAATGAAGAATCGTCAATTATTTTTTGATAATAGTTATTTTACTTCCTTACAATTACTCTACAAGCTGAGGAGAAAAAAAGTTTCAGCTACCGGTACAATTCGTTCCGATAGAAAATATTTTCCAACTAAATTGAAGAAAGGAGAAAACTTGAGAGAGGCAATTATCGATATTTAACATCTAATGGAGTTTCTGTAATAAAATGGATGGACAAGAAAGAAGTATCTATTGCATCAAACTATTTCGATCCTGCAGTTGAGTGTGAAGTTAGTCGACAAGATAAAGACGGCAATAGAAAGCAAATTTCTTGTCCATTAGCAATTGTTCAGTATAATAAATATATGGGAGGTGTAGATTTATCTGACCAAAAAATAAAGTATTATACTATAGATCGAAAGTCAAAGAGAAATCGGATGAGAATATTTTTTCATTTTCTTGGTATGTCATTAGTAACTTCATTTATTTATTATAAAAATCTTTCCAATAGTAATATTACTACGACATAGAATATATATCGTCTATTAGTACTGCACTGATAAGTAATTATTTTAGTAGAAAAAGGATAGGACGAACTTTAGCAATAAGTTAACCAGAAGAAGGTGCGCATATCGACAAGAG